CTTTCTCTTTTAGTTGTGCTGGACATTCACCTGATAACATCATTGCTACCGATTTGCTTTCATTAGTCATATATCCAGAAATATTCCTATATTCTTTAAGGCTTTCTAATAGAGCTGGTACTGACCTTAGTGGCTCTGTTAACATTACTAGTAAGTCATCTGCAAACAATGATATTTTATGTTCTATCCCTCCCTCATCTCTTATTCCAAGAATTTTTTTATTCTGTCTTATTGCTTCTGCTAATGGTTCTATATTAACCGCGAATAGTAGTGGACTTAAACAGTCCCCCTGTCTAACTCCTCTCTTGAGATCAAAAAATTCTGAGCAATATCCATTAATTCGAACTTGGGATTTTGGATTTTTATAAATTATTTTCACCCATTCAACAAATTGCTTTGAAAGCCCAAATCCTAGTAATGTCTGGTATAGAAAACTCAGTTTTACCCTGTCAAAAGCCTTTTGGGCATCCAAACTAATCAGGAGGGAAGATTGTGGTTTAAGTTTTGCACATGATATTACATTTAGTGTCCTTCTAATGTTGTTTGCTCCCTGCCTGCCTGGGATAAATCCTGTTTGATCTGGTTTAATTATTTGTTTTATATATTTTTGTATTCTTTCTGCCATTATGCTTGTTAGTATTTTTAAGTCGTTACACAGTAAACTCACAGGTCTATAACCCTCACATAAGTTTGAGTCTTTACCCTCCTTATATATCACAGATATAATGGCTTCAGACTATGTTTTAGGGGGGTCTCCCATCGTTAGTGCATAGTTAAATACCTTACATAATACTGGCGTTAGTTCTTCCCTAAATGTTTTGTAGAACTCCCCTGGCAGTCCGTCTGTCCCCGGGGATTTGTTGTTTTTGAGGGTTTGTTGGGTTTTAATCCAGAGAAATTTGAGTTTAAAAGATTAAAAGGAAAATGATAAACACAGAGACGGGATTTTGTGACGTCAGCGTGTGCCGGGTGGAGAGAAGAATGCTGGCTTGGAAAGCCATCACCTTCTCCCACAGATCCCTTCATGGCAAAGCCTTTTATTAACAGTTTACAACATCAAACAGGCGGGCCTAAAACAGAAGAGCCAGTAATCATTGTCTGGGAGGATGCAGGTAACAAGATAGTGTGAATTGACCAACTGGCTGGATGGAAGTCACACATCCGTGTGATTCTGCCTCATGACCGACAGGAGGTCATAAAAGTTTATGACCCTTCTGGTTGAAACACAGGATAGTTATCACTCTAACATTTCCCTCCTCTTATACATAAAAACATCAGCATCTTTCAATTCATATTGTATTCATAGAAGTAGGAATATGAGTATAAACATAACAGTCTGTTTTGTTCAAATCTTCAGCAACATGTTTTGCATGTTGCCACCACATCTTGGCACTGTAGGATGACTTGCTGTGGATCCATCAAAAATCATCCTGCTCTTCCTTTGTTTCAGACAGTCAGTTTGAGTTCCTAGGAACACCGGTCCAACAGTCATCACCGGGCAGCATAACCACTTTGGTTTTTCAGATCTTTGCCAGTCCGTCCAAGGAAACACCCACTAACCGGACTCTAAAAGACTGGGTTAGGTTGTTTTTTTCACCAGCGTTGAGACGAGTGGTCCTAAAAAAACCAAACCCCTTTGAAGCTGGACTTCACCACAGATCTATACCTTAGTCGTGGGGTCCCTGTGAAAGTAACTGGGCTTTTTTGCTGAGGAAAATTTTTTAATCAGTTTACAATGACTCTGGTGGATCCAAGTGTCTCTCTCCTGGATTTTCACGGCAGTGGGGGTTGTTAGTTGCTCTATGTAGGGTCCTTCCCACCTCGGAGCTTTCCAAGTTTTCCTTTTGATGATTTTAATCAGCACTCGGTCTCCAGGCTTCAGGCCTTCCTGTGGGGAAACAAAAGGAGCACTAGGCAGATTACATGTTTTCCGAACAGTTTTGTCGCTGAAAAGCTCCAGCATCCACTTAGTTAGCGGGTCAATGTCATCTTGTTCGTTTTCTGCCCATGGCTTTCCTGTTTCTGCCATGAATTTTCTCAATCTATTTTTAACATCCTCGAACCATTTAACTGGGTTCTGTCTGGCTGGAGGTAAACCTCGACAGGCAGTCCGCATCTCTGCATCTGTCCATGGCCCACACACAAGAACAGTGGGTCCACAATCCAGTGGGTCACCATCTTGGGGTCCCGTGCGTTGACCACAATGAGGGTTTGCCACCTCCAACACAGGAAAAGCACATGCCCCCCTCCCAGGATCTTGGTCCTGTTCTTGTTTTTTTAATTCAGCCAATCTTGGATAAATAGGGGCAGATGGGCCCCTTCCACAAGCCTCCACTTGATAATGATCCCTGTAACACTTCGAATCAAGCTTCACATCCCCCCCTGATCCTCCCAACTCATGCTCACAAGAGTCAGAAGCACTGAGTTCCATACCATCCACAGAGGACGACACGGACAGGGGGCCTGCTCCTGCTCCTCCAATATCACCACACGATGGTGGGGCTACTGGAGGAGGAACAGTGGCATGGCTGTGTTCACATTCACCGTGATGGGGTCTATCTCCACCTTCCTGCGCAGCTGATGCCACTGCTTGAACCCCATCACCCCCTTGAATTTGATTAGGGTCCGGATATTGAGGAAGCATTCGGGATACAACAGTTTCTTCATCAGCTTTAACTTTTACAGCAGCAATTGTAACTGTCTTTCTATCCTTCTTCTGTTGTATTTGGCTTTCCCTATTTTTTGCTTGCATAATCCACTTATTTAACTCTTCTAATTCTTTTCTGTATTTAGCTTGTTTTCTTTTTGATTTATACACCAACTTCATCTCCACCTTCTGCTGAATCTTTGTCAGCGGCTCAACTCTCAACTTTCCATCCCAGTCCTCCTTCTCAATCCACTTTCTGGCAAACTCTGGGTCACCACCACAACACGCCACCATCCATCTAACATCACCTGGCATTTCCTTCTTACTACTGCCTTGTCCCATTTTCAAAGAATTGTCCAGTACACAGCGGTTCGATTGTTTCCTCACACACTTTCACACAGTCACACACACCTAAGGCCTAATATTTTTTATTTTTTAACCAACATAGAGTCCCAGACTCAAATGCACAGAATACCCAGGTCCCAGACTTGTAAACAAAACTTGGTTTCGTCAAATATTCTTGCAACTACAACCAGTTATAGCTTGAACACAGAGGGTCCCAGACCCAAACGCACAGAATACCCAGGTCCCAGACTTGTAAACAAAACTTGGTTTCGTCAAATATTCTTGCAACTACAACCAGTTATAGCTTTCACACAAAGGGTCCCAGACCCAAACGCATAGAATACCGATCCCAGATCTCTCACAACAAACCCTGTTTGTCAAATATTCTAGCGACTACAACTAGTTATAGCTTTCACACAGAGGGTCCCTGACCCAAAACGCATAGAATACCGATTCCAGATCTCCCACAACAAACCCTGTTTGTCAAATATTCTAGCGACTACAACTAGTTATAGCTTTCACGTGGTCCCAGACCAACTGTTGGTAAAAAACTTTAGGCGTACCGTTTCTGTGCAGATCAGTCCTCAGCTTGAGTCGTCACCAGGATGTCCAGGGCAGGGCTGGACCAACCTATTGGCTCTGTCCAGCAAAGGGTGGACGGCTGTCGTCAGTTTCTTGGCCTTGGTCCCGCACGGTCCTGGACAATTGGATCTTGACTCCCGGAGTTTCAGCACCAAAAATGTTGGGTTTTTAATCCAGAGAAATGTGAGTTTAAAAGATTAAAAGGAAAATGATCAACACAGAGACGGGATTTTGTGTTGTCAGCGTGTGCCGGGTGGAGAGAAGAATGCTGGTGTGTCACCCTTTTTAACTGAGTAGTCAAAATAAATAAAATTTCAAAAGTATCAAATGTTATTTTCAAAAATTAAAAAAAAAATGTCTCCAATCTACTCACTTTGGGTTCAATTAGGTTCGTAAGGAGATTGGCAGAGGTAAATCACTAAGTGAAAGATTATTCCAACCAAAATAAGACACTGACAACCATTAGAATTGAATAACTGAAAACCTGTATTTCAAAATGCTGAACTAGAACATTGGCACAACACAGTTTGTTCACTTCCACATTCATTCAATTCAACAATACCATCCTTTATCAGAGTCCACAAGTGCACTAAAAAAAATACTGTCCATTTCAGCTGAGTACACCGTCTTCCACTCTTTGGTAGGTATTTAATGCAAGTTTTAATATTCCTGATGCATCAGTTTGGTTTGTGGTATCAGATCTGACCCAAAAGTAACAAAAAAAATAAAAATAAATGATTTGAGATCTCAAAAAAACAAAAATAGAAATCCTCAGAGCAGATTGGGAATCTGTTTTTTCCCTACCACCCTCCAGAGAGACAGGCGGCCTTCACAATGGATGCATCCTGCAGCAGCATCTCCGGTGGTTCCTAGTTCGGTCCGTGGATGGAATCCCTCAGGTTGTGGCAGCAGGTTCAGGGACTATATGTATATATAAAACCAGCCTGCACACAATTGTGCAAACCAATTACTTCAACTGGAAAACAATCATGTAATCACCCTAAATTAAATTGTTTTAATCATATTGTACAGAAAACAAAACAAAATAAATACAGAAAAGAAAAGAAAATTATCAGTTCCAACTTGTCTTTTACTGTATATGCAGCTATTAAGGCCTGTAATAAGTATTCTTATCTTTCAAAATAAATCTAGGAGACCTGCAAAAGGGTAAGTTACATTATGACCTACAGCAACACCACACATGGTGCAGCTAGCTTAAACCTCACACAAAAGTACTTGTTTTTTTTAGAAGAGCACATGTGGTGAGTTAGCTTACTTCTTACCATGCCAATGCACCTAATAAACCATGAACAGCAATTGTAGTCATATTTCTAACAAAAGCTCATAACCTAACTGGTTTTACATAGCAAAAAACACTTGTTTCACAAGACTCACCAGGATTCTTCAACAACAACAACAAAAACTCCTCAGCTCAACGGATTTCAGGACTGAACTCCTACAACATCTGGTGCCTCTAAAATACAAATATAATCATCAATATGACATTTAACAAGGCCTTTCACGCATTTAACCCAGGGCGAATGTTTTAAAATATTACCTTGCTCTATGCAGATAGATGCCATGGAAGAAAGTGCGTTTGGTCTGAGCAGGGAGGAGCTGTGAGCAGCGCAACTGTGCAGGTGCGGTGCATTCACAGTGCGTGGGAAATCTTAGTACTTAACTTCATTACCCCCTTTTCTTACGATTTGAAAAAAAACATACATGTACACTGATGACAAAATAACCATGGGTTACATTCTCCCCCTCTAGACCGCATGAGTCCCTTCATGCTCATTGAACCAACTGGAACCTTGTTGAGGTGACAAGACTGCTTTGGAGAATGCAACTCCTAATGTTTGAAAAAATGAGCTAATGGCCAAAGTCAGTGGCTCTCCTAACTCATCATAAGTCAACTTCTGAGGTGGACGTCGCTCTCTATTTGAACGCCTCAAATTTACTGGCTCTCTATCACTAGTTTCAGTACTAACAGCATTGTCAGTACTAACTACACATTTCTTTGGAGTGAGGTCTGTGTCAGTCAAGGTAGGTTCAAAGTCAGTTTCAGGAATGTCAATAACAACATGGTCTGAAGACCCAACGTCTAAATGGCCAGAATCAGTACTGCATGCACTCGGTGCTTCAAGTGGAATAGAGGTATCTGTATTCAGTAAGGAGTTTTGTGGAATCCCATTATCAGCAGATGATACCAGGGGATGACTGTCTGCGAGCGACTGTGCATTTGGAGGATTCAGTTCAGTTTGAACATAAGGGCCTCTAGTAATGACTTCTGGCTCCCATGTAGTGAAACCTAAGTCCTCCTCATCACTTATTTCATCCTCACTGTACTCTCCAATATGGTCACTTGTTTCTGCATTGTTCACTTTACTCCTGGTTCTCATTTTCCTCTGATTGCCATTTTGAATGTCAGTTCCTGCATGGTCTTCAACAGGTAAGAACCCGCAAGGGAGAAGCAAATCTCTATGCAATGTACGGGTAGGGCCATCTCCATTTCCTGGTTTGACTACATACACAGGACTGTCTTTGATTCGCTTGACAACAATATAGATGTTTTGCTCCCACCGGTTAGCTAGTTTGTGTTTCCCTCTTATGTTGACGTTTCGTACTAAAACTTTATCACCTGAAAACAGTTCAGCAGCTCTGATCTTTTTGTCAAACCGCATCTTGTTTTTGTAACCCATTTCCTTAGAATGTTCAATGGCAAGGGCGTAACTCTCTGAAAGATTTTGGCGAAGAGTTTTGACATAGTTGGAGTATGACTTTGGACCAGGTTTGCCAGGTTGAGTTCCAAAGATGAGGTCGATTGGCAACCTTGGCTGCCTGCCAAACATAAGTTCATAAGGGGAATACCCCGTCGTATCATTTTTGGTACAGTTATAGGCGTGTGTTAATGGCCTAACAAAGTCTCTCCAGTGTTGCTTGTCTTTGTCTTCCAGCGTTCCTAACATGTCCAGAAGTGTCCGGTTGTACCGTTCCACCGGATTTCCCCGGGGATGGTAAGGAGTAGTGCGGATTTTACTCGTCCCAATCAATGTGCAAAGTTCTTTTAGGAGCTTAGATTCAAAATCCCTGCCTTGGTCACTAAGCAGCCGGCTAGGGATCCCATAAGGGATGATAAGGTGGTCCCACAAAGCTTTTGCTATCGTCTTTGCCTTTTGGTCTTTTGTCGGCACTGCAACAGCAAATTTTGTAAAATGGTCAGTAGCGACTAACACATTTCTAGTGTCTCGACAGTCAGGTTCAATAGACAAGTAATCTATGCACACTAATTCTAGAGGATAAGTTGCAAGAATATTTTCTAGTGGAGCGGCTTTCTGGGGAATGGCCTTCCTCATTAAGCAGCGAGAACATTTTTTGCACTTATCCTCAATGGACTGAGCCATTCGTGGCCAGTAAAACCTTGCCCGAGCAAGATGTAGGGCACGCTCAAACCCAAGGTGACCAACCTCGTCGTGCACACCTTGCATTGCTCTGTCCCGGTAAAGTTGTGGCAATACTAACTGGTACACAGGGGAATCATGGTCATTGAACTTCCTGTACAGCACACCATTAAGGAGCTCGAGTTTGCTCCATTGCCTTAGCAAGAGTTTAACATCAGGGGGTTCAAGGTTTGTTTCTTTTGGACTTGGTCTCACCCCTTTTTCCAACAGGACCATCACACGAGCTATAGATGGATCACTCTTTTGTGCAGAGCACCAATCAGTGTCTGTCATAGAGGGTAATATTTCTTCCCCATATGCTTCACTGACTGATGTTGGGTCCATGGCAAGATACTCACATATAATAGGCTCTGAAGAACATAATACTGAATGACGCTGACACAGGGCAGAAAATGTTTCATGGTCTAGTTCCTTTTCTACGCTACCAAGACGCTTTTTTATGTCATTTATGCGAGCGTTCTCTTTCACAAAAGTCTCATCATCATGTGGAGGGTCTTGGGGTCTCCGGGACAACCCATCGGCATCTCCATTGGCTCTGCCTGCCCTATACTTGATGTTAAAGTGATAAGTAGACAAAGCAGCCAGCCATCTGTGCCCTGCCGCATCCAACTTGGCAGTTGTTAAGATGTAAGTTAGCGGATTATTGTCGGTCAGTACAGTGAAACTTGAACCGTAAAGATAATCGCTAAACTTCTCGCACACAGCCCACTTGAGAGCTAAGAACTCAAGTTTATGTGTGGGATAGTTTTGTTCACTCCTAGAAAGGCCCCGACTGGCATACGCAATCACTCTCAGCTTCCCTTCCTGCACCTGATAAAGCGCAGCCCCCAACCCATCATGACAAGCATCGGTATGCAATACATAAGGAAGTTGCGGGTTTGCAAATGCAAGGATGGGTGCAGATGTCAGCTTTTGGATTATCATTTGGAATGCTGTCTCACACTCCTCAGTCCATTTCTCTGCAAGAGGCTGATTGGGACTGTGAGCCAGTCTGGGGGGTTCTCGTTTGTATATTTTTCCCTTCTTCTTGGGTGGGCGGTAACCTGCAGTGAGATGGTTCAGTGGTTTAGCTATCTTGGAATAACCCTCAACAAAACGGCGATAGTATCCAGCGAAGCCTAAGAAACATTTGAGCTCTTTGAAAGTGGATGGCCGAGGCCAGCTTTTCAGAGCAGAGATCTTTTCAGGATCGGTATGGACTCCGTGTGCATCCACGATGTGACCCAGATACTTCACTGAGCTTTTGAAAAAATGACATTTTTCTGGGGACAATTTAAGCCCATAATCTCTCAGGCGGGTAAGCACTTTCATTAGGCGGTTTTCATGTTCTTCTAACGTGTCCGAGAACACTATTAGATCGTCTAAGAAAACAAGCACTTCGTTGAGATGTAGGTCACCTACACACTTCTCCATTAAGCGTTGAAAAGTGCTTGGAGCATTTGTGACCCCCTGCGGCATCCTATTAAATTCATAAAAGCCCAGGGGACACACAAAGGCTGTCTTAGGTTTGTCATTCTCAGCTACCTCAACCTGATAGTACCCAGACTTAAGGTCCATGACTGAAAACCATTTAGCTCCGCTAAGTGCTGTAAATGTTTCTTCTATATTTGGAAGGGCGTATGCATCGCGTATAGTCCTTAGATTTAACTTACGGTAATCTATGCATAGCCTGATCGAACCATTTTTTTCCTCACCAATACAATTGGCGATGCATAGGGGCTTTGAGACTCTCAGATGATATTTGCATCAAGTAGTTCTCTTAGATGCTGTTTTACAGCTTCTCTGTCACTCGGATGAATGGGCCTTGGCCGTTCTTTAAAAGGTGTTTCATCATGTAATCTGATTTGGTGTTTGACAGCTGTAGTGTAACCATATGACATATCATCAAGAGCAAAAACTTCAGGAATGGTTTGCAATTTTTTTAAAATGCGCTCTTTCCATTGCTCTGAGATGGGGGACTCATTAAGACTGGATGAGAGTTTGTCAATGACAGGATCATTTTGACTTAAAGAGTTTGTGGTTTGACTAGGTCCTAAAGGCGAAACATGTTGTGCTGCACAAGCTTGAGCAACAATGCTATTTGGCTGCAGCGTAACACTGTGTTCATTCACATTGTGAACAATGACAGGCACTCTATTTCTACCATTAAAGGGAATGTCCACTAAAGAAGACTCTACAAGTAATCCACCTGGTAACTTGTATTGCTCGTGTGGTTCAAGGACAAAACCTGTGTTCTGGTTGTTCTTTCTTAATCTCACATTGCCCATCAGGCACAGTTTCTGGTTTGCGTGAATCAGCACTGGCTTTTTGCTTTGTAACATCACAGGACAGGATTGAACATCACTTCTTTGTACCTGGGCGACATGTTGGAGAATCATTGCAAACTGCTTAGAGTGTAATTTATGAATGAACTTGGGGCCATCTTGTTCCAACAACTGCCCATAGAGTCGCAGAAGCACGTTTGTCCCTATCAACAGTGGAATTTTACTGTTGAAGTGGCATTCAGGAACGACAAGGGCTAAAACAACTAAGTGTTGTTCTTTGCCTGCAATGTTCTCAGGAAAAGTGATGTGGGTTTGAACATAGCCCAAGTATGGGACATTCTGCCCACCTGCTCCCTCAATCTCAAGAAGAGCGTGTATTGGTTGGATGGGGAGATGGGAAAGATGCCTTTTGTGAAAGGACTCTGAGATGGTTGTAACTTGAGAGCCTGAGTCCATTATAGACTCACATGGCATGCCACCAATAACTACAGAAGCTGCACACCGTGGACCTACAAGACCACGAGGCAAAATGGAGTCAGGATTAAAGCTGTCTAGTGGATGCATCGGGTCTGGGATTTTCATTTGTGTCTCTGGACTAAAACAATCTGAGTATTCAGCTCCTGGGTGTCCCACAACAGGAGCTGCCCCTACTTTAAAGCAAAGGGAGTTGTGGCCTGCCGTGCAGCATAGTCAGCTTGTTTCTTTTTTAGCTCAACATTCTTTTCACGAACCAAGGTAGGATTTACATCATTAGTGCAGCTGGCTGCAATGTGATTATCTTCCCCACATTTGAAACAAAACCATGCCCGGGGAGTGCCAGGGATTTTAGTAGCTACCCGCGGGGGCTTGGTGTTAGTAGCTAAGGATTCTTTGTGGTCACACTTATCGGTTTTGGTTGAATGTCTTTGGTTTTGCAGGGCTTAATAAGCTTTCAAGTATCTTCCTAACCTTGAGTGAATCAGTTAAAGAGGAGTCACTGAGCAGCAGATCAACTTGGGTGCGCCATGTTTCGTAATCGACTTCACCATTGGGTCTCGGGAGTCGACCTGAAAATGTGCGTATCTTTGCATGTGCAAGAGGTGCATGAGTTGGCTCATTACGAATAATATGCTCAACCACTACCTTCTGAATATGTGGGGGATTGTACAGGTTCTCATCTACATGTACAGAGCCTACAGAAGTGTCACTATGTGGGCTAAATACACTTGTGGGCTCTACAGCTTCTGTTGACTTAGTATTTTGAACATCGTCCGTAGTTGTATTAACAGTCTGGTTCGTGGGTGGATGTTTTTCAGTCTGAGGAGTAAGGCTAGCGTGCAACTCACCTTGAAGGAAGCTAAAGAAGCCTGCTTTCCCACTATCCCCCATGAACTCCAGTTCTCTCAGGTATCGGCGCGCCATTTCTTTGCCTATCTCTTCTTGGGTAATGTCTCTAATGGTTTTTGAATACCATTTTATAGGTGGGTCTACAGTCAAGACTATTTCTCCTAAGGTTGAAGGGTCTATCTTTAAGATAGCTTGTTCAGATTCATACATTATGAGTGTTCTGCCTTCGGGCTGATGTGGCTCATTGGGGACCCTGACAATTTTAGAGATTTTACCATTTGCCCCAAAAACATCAGAAATGTCATTATCACTATGGCTTGCTGTAACACCTGTAACATACAGGGTTTTCTGGCTGTCAGCTGCAAAACGTTCACAAAGATCCATTTCAAATTTATACAAATGGTGTCAAAACAGTGTATCGTAATGGTTGGAAATAAAACCACAATACCAATCTCCTGGCTGGCTCGCCACTATGTGTCACCCTTTTTAACTGAGTAGTCAAAATAAATAAAATTTCAAAAGTATCAAATGTTATTTTCAAAAATTAAAAAAAAAAATGTCTCCAATCTACTCACTTTGGGTTCAATTAGGTTCGTAAGGAGATTGGCAGAGGTAAATCACTAAGTGAAAGATTATTCCAACCAAAATAAGACACTGACAACCATTAGAATTGAATAACTGAAAACCTGTATTTCAAAATGCTGAACTAGAACATTGGCACAACACAGTTTGTTCACTTCCACATTCATTCAATTCAACAATACCATCCTCTATCAGAGTCCACAAGTGCACTAAAAAAAAATACTGTCCATTTCAGCTGAGTACACCGTCTTCCACTCTTTGGTAGGTATTTAATGCAAGTTTTAATATTCCTGATGCATCAGTTTGGTTTGTGGTATCAGATCTGACCCAAAAGTAACAAAAAAAATAAAAATAAATGATTTGAGATCTCAAAAAAACAAAAATAGAAATCCTCAGAGCAGATTGGGAATGTTTTTTCCCTACCACCCTCCAGAGACAGGTGGCCTTCACAATGGATGCATCCTGCAGCAGCATCTCCGGTGGTTCCTAGTTCGGTCCGTGGATGGAATCCCTCAGGTTGAGGCAGCAGGTTCAGGGACTATATGTATATATAAAACCAGCCTGC